CGGTAGCTCTCCTCTCGTTGGGGCTTTAGACCGACTAAGTTTGGATGTTATAAAATGACTGTTTTTAAGGATGAAAAAATACAAGGCGTCGCTCCTCTGAAAGAAGAAAAGGAGAAGCTTGTTCCCCACGAGAGAGGAATTGCTGAAGAGGAAGAACGCAGCTATGGAAAGAGAATCAGCACTGAAGAACAAGCACAGGGAAGCATGGGAAGGTCAGCTCTGCGTTTCTATCTGTGAATTTGGTCGATTCATAGATTGACGTGAACTACATGCTCGCATTAGTGGGTTTTAGGAGGTCATGGAGGAACTCACGGAGGAGCTAATGAACTCTCTGCTCGCTCCAGAACAATCTTCACCTGCCACTGAATTTTCTTGACACTATACTTTATTTTTCATCGGGAGTGATAATGAAATAGAATTAGGGGTACGAAAGGACTGGCGTTTTGCTCTTTTGGATTGCGTGTACTATTCTAAATCGCCTTGTATTGTGTAATCGCCTTGTATTTCACAACGACTCTGACTTTTTTCGCACTTTGAAGCAACTCCCCAACAGAAGCCGTGTCGAGGATCTTTGCAGTGGGCTGGATATAGTACCCACGTGTAGCACAGGCGCGATGGTGGCGTCAGGGTCTTATAAAGTAGCATTTGGCTATATAATCTTAGCATTTGGGCGATCTACGTCGTGCACTCCCTATGGCACGCAACGTGGAACGGCGTAACGGCTAATTCAAATTCGCGTGGATTAGTTGAGCCGTGGAGAAGGCAGTTTCATAGGATTTGTCTCACATATTTGTCTCGCATATTTTGTGCTGTTCGCTACTGTCGTTTTCGTTCTGCGCGTAATGCTCACTCTGTCTTCTTATCCCGTTCTATTTTTTCATTACGTTCTCATCTTATTCCTTTTTCTCTTTAATGAAATGTCGTTGTAGCAAAAAGTCAACAGTCTAGTTTGAAGGCGGAATTCACAATAAGAAGGCAGACCATTAGAATTAAGGTAGAGGTGGTGAGTGGTACGGAAAGAAGAAGAACCATGAGAAACGGCCCAGAACCCGAGAAATGGGACCCCTTCCTTGCTCCGTTGATTTTTGCATTGATGCGACTCATCGGGCTGCCCTCTTCAACGCTAACGCTCCTTCTTATAAACGGCTAGAGACCTGCGGCGAGTGGTTAGCCAGTCGGTGGGCGTGCCGCGCCGATAGCGCCGCGGGGAGGGCCATGCTAGATCGCCGGGGCATATCCTTCGCTGCGAATTGCGTGTCGGTCCGCACCCTTAGGGGGTCCGCCTGTCTTTCCACTAGGTGAGTTTCTTCTTTGACCTTCGACCTTGTAGTAGAACCCTCCTTCAACCCACTGCACACGTGATGCACATGGTGCACCACGCGGCTACGTGGAGGAGAATCGTTTGGTTTGACACTTAGCATTTTTGCAAGTCACAAGTCGTCAGTATATCTTTCTGAACTCAGCACATTTTACGTATTCAAATACTGTTGAAATCATATTGGTTACTGATAAAAAAATAAGGTAGCACGTTATGGGATGCCCGCATAACGGCGCTTCCTTGTAGACAAACTGTCTTTGGAATCTCTGAATTCGCCGTAAGCCAGCTGTGCACGCTGATGCTATCAGATCAAAGTTGATATGAGAACGTGATCCGTATACCACCTCCCCTCCTGCTCGATCCAAATATCATATTCAAATTATGTTTCCAGCTTCGAAAGATGCCAAGAAAAGGGAGAAGTCGAACCTGATGTTCAAGGAGATCGACATCAATGGAGATCAAAAGTTTGTAACTACATATTATAGCTCTCCCATTATTTCATTATTTTCATTCTTGTCACTGAACACCTTTCCAGGATAACTTTGGATGAACTCAAAAAACTGAAATATCTCGACGCAGACCAGGATGGAACTGTTTCTGATGAGGAAGCAAAGGTAAAAAAAAAAGTTTCTTTTTTTTTCTCCACGACTCGAGGGTTAGCGTTTCCGTGAATACACGATGCACGGTCATGTAGGCACTATGGGTTAGCAATAAAGTATGAGATTAATGGTACTTGTTTCATGTGGCATGTGAATGCCGAAATGAGGTAGGTGTCACTGCCAAACTGAGGTGCAGTGATTGCTCCATTCTCACATCGCTTCTGAGGGCGCATGCATAGACAGTCGTCCGATCGTAACCATCCGAACGGTCGCACACCATTGGATGCGTATCGATCGTCAGACTTGTCCTGAGTATCCGACGATCGATATGTATCTAACGATCGGCCGACCGACTACTGCACCTGGGAGCAGGGTCGGTCCTATCGTTTTAGAAATTTTACCGACATCCTCTCCCCAAGCGTGGGATTGAAATACACCCCCTTTTCGCCACTCGACCACCAATCTTCAGTCCTCTATAGTATTATATCTGTACCACAAACTCCGCCCACTTTTTCCTCCAAAAGTGCCGTCGAGCGGGGGTATATACGCGCGCTGAAACGGCGAATTTTTCCCCATACGCTCCCGACTCACCTAGCCTACTACTCGTGAAAACTCCACTTTCACCACAAACTCACATGTAATTACGCACTGACGCAGATACGTACCCATCCCTCCCATAAACTCAACGGATACGACCATGGCCGTGCACAAGCCCCAACCGACGGGAATGGGGACCCATCCCTCGTTTGCGACGGCTGCGCCCGCCCTATGACACGGTCTTGAAGGACAGAACCAATTCTGGAAGAGCCATCCAAACATTGATGCAGTATGTTGTTAAAGACTATCAAAGATTGTGGTAGATTACCATCAAAGTAATATCTGATTACCTCATTTCTGGACTCTTCGATGTGTGTTTGTTTTTTTGTACAAATTTCCGAGATTTGTTTATTCAGAACCACTTGTCTGTTGATGAAGCTGATGCCGAACATTTTCTCAAAAATATGTATGAAGAGCTGACGAATGAAAAGGGCTGCTGAAGATTCAAAGAGACATGAGGATCAAGAGGCTGATGAACACGATGATCTCGTTGCCGGTATTCTAACGCTATGATTAGACCTAGCAAAATTTGTTGAGATGTGTAAGTTCCTGTTCTAGATGAGGATAGGGGAGAGACAACAACGCAGACAACACCAGGAGAAGCTCCGTCGAATGATGATGAGTTCGAATATGTCATGCCTCCATATGATGAGGAAACTAAGAAGGCGATGGAAGGTAGTATGCTGCACTTTTCATTCATTCTTTCTAATCTCACTGCTGCCTTAGATCTTGTTTTATTTTTATGAATTTGAATGTTAGTAGCTGCTGTATGGTGTGCTGCTTTTTCTCTCGTTTCTTCTCTTGTCGTGCTGCATTATTCAAGCTGTTTACAAATTCAGAAGCTGAAACTGCTCGTAAAGAATATGATGAAGTAGACATTAAGGTCACCACTCTAGAAAGTCAAATACGGTAAGGATTGGTAAATGCATCTCAAAATAATGGAACGAAGCGTAGTGTGTTACGTAATTTAGGGAAGCGGAGTCTTTCGTTGAGCAGGACTTTGGCAGTGATCATGCGTGGGCAGCTCTCAAAGGACAGTGTTATGAATTGAATGACAAGCAGTACACCTACAAATACTGCCCATTTGAAAAGACAGTGCAGAAGGACAAGAATGGTCACGGCGAAACTGGTCTAGGGTGGGTACTACGGACACTATTGAATTTATGACTATAACTAGAAACAGAGCATCAAAAGGGCATGCTCAAATAGAGGAGTGGATCTGGTACAAGGAAGCATGAGTAGTCAGAAGTGCCTGATGATAGCTAACGATCGCGATACGAGATTTCTCCATACCATCTGCGACAATTCGTACCTCTAGGGCTTTGCATGGAGATCTGGTGTAAATAAAAAATCTGAGTCTAAATGAGCTTTTTCGTTGCAACAATTGAATAATGAAAGGACAGCGTAAGCCTTTCGTTTACTTTTTTTACATACTGCCAACATATCTCCAGACGTCAGGGCTCTCCGGGCTACGTACGAGTGCAGCCAACTTGCAAAGCTGAGGTCAAACAAACCTTGCGAGCAGCTCAACAGGAACCCCTTTCAAAAAGCCAATAGAAGGAGAGCTGTGGTGGGTAACCACAGTGATATCAGAAACTGCTTACCTCAGAAGAACAGTGGTAATTCGAACTAAAACTTTCGCCCCAGGCGGGACTAGAACCCGCACCTCTCGCTTTCCGGGCAAGTGCGCTACCAGTTACGCTACCGGGGCACCATTTCATTCCAACTCAGCTTTTCATGGTATACGTACCATAGCTTTCAGCACTCACACGTATAACGTGTTGAGCCGGTTAGCCGATATCGGCAATGACCGCGAGGCTGAAAGCTTTAGCAATGATTTTGACTTGTTTTGTTTTAACTGCTGTTTTTAGCCACAGTTCGCTTTGTGAAATTTCAAAGCTTCTGGGTTATGACGTCCGCCTGAGGCGAAAAGTTTGTTCATAACCCACTGTGCTTGTGAAACTTTCCAAATCGAACCGCAGTCACAAAGAGCAGTCAAAAAACAAAAACAATTCAAGATGATTCATAAGTTTTTGAAACGCGCCCCTCATGTTATCTTCATGATCACAGTTTGGCGTTTGCATGGGATTCGGTCTGTATTGGCATACATTGATTTGCGGGGTCAGTCGATGTACAAATTGAAATTTCCTTCATCGTCGACAAGTGAAGTTCCAATCCGGCCCAGGGCAGGCCTCTTTGGCCTGAGGGAGGTTCGATACGCTATGTGACGTCGCCTCAATGATCGTGATATGCGGCGTCCCCTGCCATTGCACAAACACCATTCGGGAAGAGGTGCGAGGTGAATAGCT